AGCCTCCAAGAGGCCCCCAAGAGGCCCCACGAGGAGCCCGAACGACTCACCCCAGGACGAGGGGCCCGAACGACTCACACCACGAGGAGCTGGAACGACTCACACACAAGGAGGGGCCCGAACGACTCACACCAGGACGAGCGGCCCGAACGACTCACACCACGAGGAGCCCGAACGACTCACACGCAAGGAGGCGCCCGAACGACTCACACCAGGACGAGGGGCCCGAACAACTCACACCACGAGGAGCCCGAACGACTCACACACAAGGAGGGGCCCGAACGACGCACACCAGGACGAGGGGCCCGAACGACTCACACCACGAGGATCCCGAACGACTCACACACAATGAGGGGCCCGAAGGGCTCACACAAGGAAGGAGGAGGGGCCCCAACGACTCACACCACGAGGAGCCGGAACGACTCACATATCTGCAACGCACAATGAACCGAACTCTTGCATTTATGATAGGCACGTCCCGCTACGTCAAGAGGGTGGCCAAAAAGAGCAAAGTAGCTACACGGATAGGTTCTAGGGTACATTCCAAAGTACCTACGAATTATCCCGGCAAAGCAACCTAACAGCGATGTGTAGGAGCATATCTGGAAGCATTCCCCTTAAGATTCAGATGAGAATCCAGTTGTAGAATGCTGCTGTTCTCGCAGTCATAGTCGCATTCGCGATGACAGTCGCAGTGGCCTGCATCAGCCTCAGCCTCAGCCTCAGCCTGCCTCAGCATCAGCCTGCCTCAGCCTCAGCCTCAGCCTGCCTCAGCCTCAGCCTCAGCCTGCTTCAGCCTCAGCCTCAGTCTGCCTTCAGCCTCGGCCTCAGCCTCAGCCTGCCTCAGCCTCAGCCTGCATCAGCCTCAGCCTCAGCCTCAGCCTGCCTCAGCATCAGCCTGCCTCAGCCTCAGCCTCAGCCTGCCTCAGCCTCAGCCTCAGCCTGCTTCAGCCTCAGCCTCAGTCTGCCTTCAGCCTCAGCTCAGCCTGCTTCAGCCTCAGCCTCGGCCTCAGCCTCAGCCTCAGCCTGCAGCCTCAGCCTGCCTCAGCCTCAGCCTCAGCCTCAGCCTGCTTCAGCCTCAGCCTCAGTCTGCCTTCAGCCTCGGCCTCAGCCTCAGCCTGCCTCAGCCTCAGCCTGCATCAGCCTCAGCCTCAGCCTCAGCCTGCCTCAGCCTCAGCCTGCCTCAGCCTCAGCCTCAGCCTCAGCCTCAGCCTCAGCCTCAGCCTGCTTCAGCCTCAGCCTCAGTCTGCCTTCAGCCTCGGCCTCAGCCTCAGCCTGCCTCAGCCTCAGCCTGCATCAGCCTCAGCCTCAGCCTCAGCCTGCCTCAGCATCAGCCTGCCTCAGCCTCAGCCTCAGCCTGCCTCAGCCTCAGCCTCAGCCTGCTTCAGCCTCAGCCTCAGCCTGCCTTCAGCGGCCTCAGCCTCGCCTCAGCCTCAGCCTCAGCCTGCATCAGCCTCAGCCTCAGCCTCAGCCTCAGCCTCAGCCTGCAGCTCAGCCTCAGCCTCAGCCTCAGCCTGCAGCCTCAGCCTCAGCCCTCAGCCTCGGCCTCAGCCTCAGCCTGCCTCAGCCTCAGCCTCAGCCTCAGCCTCAGCCTGAAAATGTGGCCCGGGAATGGAGTTCTGGGAACTCGAAGAACACGAAGTGGCCTACAGTTGGCTCCGGGCATTCAAAATCATGCCCAGGAATGGAGTTCTGGGAACTCGAAGACCACGAAGTGGCCTACAGTTGGCTCCGGGCATTCAAAATCATGCCCAGGAATGGAGTTCTGGGAACTCGAAGACCACGAAGTGGCCTACAGTTGGCTCCGGGCATTCAAAATCATGCCCAGGAATGGAGTTCTGGGAACTCGAAGACCACGAAGTGGCCTACAGTTGGCTCCGGGCATTCAAAATATGGCCCGGGAATGGAGTTCTGGGAACTCGGAGACCACGAAGTGGCCTACAGTTGGTTCCGGGCATTCAGAATGTGGCCCAGGAATGGAGTTCTGGGACCTCGAAGGCCACGAAGTGTGTAACTGTTTGCTTAAAACGACTTCCGCGGATTCTCCCCGGATCCTGCCCAGACCCCCCTGGGGAGTCAAGATGATCTCTTCTGACACTACTAGAAACCTATCAGTCTTCGCTGTTAGGTAAAATTGGTTCGAGAATCGCAACCACTCCCGAGCCAAAGGTGTTCCTCCGCCTCTGCCTCCGCATCCTGCTCCTCCTCCCCCTCCTCGTCCTCCACATCCTCCTCCTCTTCCAAGCACGCCGTCCTGCCTACGGGCCGTCGTGACTTCCCGGACTTGGTTCGGTTTCGTTCGTCAGGGGCCCTGGGGTTGCTAGACTTTCGGAAAACATCAACTTGCAGCCGACGCGCTGGCCAAGACCGCCGGGCCCCGCGCACAACGTTCCGGTAGGCGTGCGCACCGTTGGGAACAAACGCCGAAGGTTTCGTTGGGGATCGCTCGAAGCAAAATATGTGTTCGTCGTTTTGTCATCGTCGTCGTCGTCGTCGTCTTCGTCGTCGCCGTCGTCTTTGTCTTTGCCTTTCTATTTGTCTTTGTTGTCCCCCCCTATGCCATCCAAGGGGGGTGCCGTGGAGCCCTGGGACCCATCCCACCTGGGGGTGGAGGGGCCCGTGAACCCTCGACCCGCGATCATAGATGCTGTCACCATTGGGTTTCGATGCTGACCTTCGTTGTACATTTGTGGCCTCTCCCCGGCGTCCGCTCCGAAGCGGCGGCAGCAGCAGCAGCATCTGCCGACTTCCGCTCTCGTATCGCTTTCACCCTGATGCTGACGAGGAGGAGCAGGAGCATAATGGAGCAGAGAGACGGCAGTGAAAGCGCGACTGCACCGCGCGCGTCCGCGCGTGACACGGGTCACGTTCAATGTTTTGATGTCTGCGTCCACCGGCGGGCTGCAACACAAAAGCGCAGCAAGCAACACTATCCCATGAAGAGCCCCAGTATGCTGCGAATCACTGGCGACCGCGGTAACGATGGCGCACTGCCACGAGGATGGGGGGTGATAAGTCTGACTATGTGCGGTTCATACGATTGGGAAGTACGCAACGCTAATCAGAAAAGTCGCCGAACCGCTTCTTCAAAGCCTCCGCCAACAGCCGGAAGTGTGCCTCAGCTCCAGAGGCGCTAGGGTGCTGAGCGTCACACCACAATGCTGGTGAACCGTCCTCGCTGTATTCGATACCGTGGCTCGAGTAGAAACGACATTTAGTTTTGTCCTGCCAGAGAGTCCCCGCTTCATCACGGATGAAACCAGCATATATTTCCTCCGCTGGCGCATCGAATACAATTGCTTCGATACCCAACTCCTCGCGGACAAGCTTTGCTGCATTGGTCGTCCATGTGGACCCCTCAATGAGCTGGCCTGAAACGAACGACGATGCACTCTTCTTTCTCTTGCGTGCAGCTCCTGCCACCTGTCGATATCCTGGCTGTGCAATGAAGATGACGCGCTCCACAGCCGTCGCGTCCTTGGACAGGGTCGCGAACCAATCCTGCTTGCGCATGCGCTTGGCAGCCTCATCTGCCGAGAGGCCGCTGTCGTCATTGTAGCCCATCTCTATGACGACGACCCGCGCGGCAGACCTCGCCGCACAGGCGCTCTCGTCCCCGCGCGTGGCCAGGCCGGCACCGTACGTGCACGTGAAGCTGGCCAGCGGGAAGCCCATGTCCGCGGCGAGCCCCATCACCTGGCCCGCCTCGAGGCACCCGTACGTCGAATCTGCCCAGAGGGCCACCGAGGCCTCCGCGCCCGCGGCGCCGCCCTGGCCTGAGCGGGCGCAGCGGAGGGGGCGGCCGGGCGCGGGGGCGGGCGCCGCGGGAGCGGGCGCCTGCGGGGGCGGCTGCGCCGCGGGCGGCCCCGCGGCACCAGTGGCCGAGCGGCCCCGCGGGGGGCGCCTCGGGGGCGTCCGCACCTGCCGCGGGGGGCCCGCGGGGGGCGGCACGGCAGCCATGCGTGCCGCGCGAGGCGCATCGAACGCCCGGCGGAGAGGAGAAGCAGGAGGAGGAGGAGGAGGAGGAGGAGGAGCAGGAGGAGGAGGAGGAGGAGGAGGAGGAGGAGCAGGAGGAGGGAGCAGAGGAGGAGGAGGAGGAGGAGGAGGAGGAGGAGGAGGAGGAGGAGGAGGAGGAGGAGGCTAAGAGGGAGAGGAGGAGGATGAGGGCGGAGGAGGCTGGAGGAGGGGCCAGGAAGGGCTCGAGCCAAGGCGGCCGCGGCGGCGCGGGGCACAGCTCCTGGCGGCCGCGCCCCTCCATAGGGGGGCAGGCGGCCAGGCAGGCGGCAGAGGGCGAGGCTCGGCCTCAGCAGTGTTTTGTTTGCTGTTTTTGTGTGTGTGTGTGTGGTCGTGTTGTAGTCGTCCTCCGTCGTGTTGTCTTCGTCCCGCCTTTGCTGCGCCACGGAGTCGAAAGGAGCACGGCCCACGGAATCGCCAAAACACCGCCTGGGCCGAGCCCTGGCAGAAGAGACCCTCCATGGAGAGCGGGGATGTTCTTGTCAGCATCCACCTCAGACCAGTCCTGCTCTCTCTCTCTCTCTCTCTCTCTCTTCTTCTTCTTTATCTTCTTCTTCTTCTTCTTACTTTTTGTTTCTCTCTCTCTCTCTCTCTTTGTTGCTGCGTGCACCTTTCGCCGCCCGCTGCCGTTTCTGTACGCAGCCCAGGGTAGCCCAAAGGACCCATCATCTTCATCCCATCCGAGGCTGATGGAGGCCAGTGGGAAGCCTTGGCTGTCTCAGGGGGGGAGGAGCAGGGGTGCGAGGTGGAGATCTGTCCATATCCACCGCACGGTTGGGGATGGACTCACGCCACAGCAGAGCTAGCAGACAGCACGACGGCACCAGCCGCTGGCTGGAACCCAAGGCTTGGGGAACAGCCTGGCAAGCTGTGGCCTAAGCGGAGCTCGCGACCAGCGAGAGCAGCTTCGATGCGCCAGGGCTGCACCGACGCCCTGTCCGCTTGGTTCGCTACGGCACTGGCGGTTTGGAGAGCATCTGCGGCAGCTAGGGGCCCGGAGACTGCATGATAGCGTTGCTCCTCGCATGAGCCCCTGTTGCGTCCTCGAAGATCTTGGATGCCTCCTCCTGCGAGATGTTCCAAGACACCAGCTCCTCCGCAACTGTCTGAAGTGTTGGGCTCCCTGAGCTGTCTTTCGTCACTCTCATGATGACGTTTTTGCCGTTGCCCTGTGGGTCGCCGATGGATATCTCGCCCAGGTACTCGTCCTTCACCAGATACTGGCCAGAATAATCGGGGTGCCGCCGCAAGGCCTGAGCGAGCGGGCTCATCATCAGATCCATCACGGGAATGCGCTTGGCAATATCGTCCATATCCCTCTCCTCGAGCACGTCCTTGGCAAGCGGCTGCCCTGGGCAGGCGGCCTGCACGGCGCTTCTCAGGAACGCCTTCACCACGCACCCCAGGAAGCGCGCCCGCCGCTCGACTGTCGTCATGGACTCGTTCAGCCTCGGGGCCGCCGACTTGATCCACCTGAGCGCTGGAAAAGGGCCCACCAGAGGCGACTTCTCTGTCTGCTCGCAGCGCTCCAGCATGTGAGGCTCGCCAGACTCAAGGCCCCAGTCAAACCAATACTTGCTGAAGAGGGCGCCGTTGTCTTGAATCTTGAAGCTGTCCCAAGGAGCGCGTACGGTCTGGCAGTAGTGAATGAAACTCGGGATCTGGTGACGCACCTTCGGCAATATCTGCCGACCCCTTGGGGTTCATCAGCGCGTGAGATGCTCCCCACTCTCCAAACCCCTCCCCAGGGAGCCCGGTCAGGTCGATCTGGAGGGGCGGGGTCTACCCGGGCCGGCCTGGCCTGTCGGGGGGTGTACTCTGCTCCAGAAATTTTGCCGGTGGGAGTCCCTCAAAACGGGCCACGAGGGCCCCAAGAGACCTCCAAGACATTCCAAGACGGCCCCGAGTCGCCGAAACATCAGCCCAAGACGCCCAAGATGGCCTCCAGACGCCTCAAAAGACTTCGAAGAGACCGCCCAAGAGGGCCCCAAGAGGCCAAAATCGTTGATTGTCATTTGTTTTTTCCAGAGTTTTTGGTGTTGTCGCCTTTTCGGGCTTCCGACGCTCATAGACGGCCCAAGAGGCCCCCAAGACCGCCCCGAGACGGCCCAAGAGGCCCCCAAGAAGGCCCTAAGACGGCCAAATAGGGCCTCACGACAGCCCAAGCGGGCTCCAAGACGGCTCCAACAGGTCCCCAAGAGGGGCCCAAGAAGGGGATCACGAACCGAAAATTCCAGTTTTCGCCCCAAGAGGCCCCCGGGAGGCCCCAAGAGGCCCCCCAAAGACTCCCAAGAGGCCGAAGAGAGGCCCCCAAAACCAGCCCCCCAGAGGTCTCAAAACTGCCTCGGGCAGGCCCCCGAGATGCTTTCCACGAGATCCCAACGAACATCCATTGGCCTCTGTCGATCCGCCGCCCCCTGTTGAGCCGCCGCCCCCTGTTGATCCGCCGCCCCCGGTCGATTCATCGCAAGGGTGCCCGGCGTGCTAGATGATTTCGGCTTTGGTTTTGGTTCTCTTCCAAAAGAACTCCCCCTGGGGCTCCGGCGGCGTCCCGCCGGGGTCCCGGGAAGGATCTCAAAGCGCATCCGTCGACGCCTTTGTTGCTCCAGGTTGGCCTCCAAGACGGCCAAGATGGCCCAGGATGGTCTCCAAGTTCGCCCAAGATGGTCCGAGATGGCCTCCAAGACGGCACAAGAGGGTCCACGATGCCTTCTAAATCGTTCAAGAAGCTTCAGCACGGGCCAAGATGGCTCCAAGATGGCCTCAACATGGCCCAAGAGGCTGCCAAGAAGTCCCCCAGGAGAGCCCGAAGAGGCAAACATCCGTGTTTTTTTCCACTGGTTTTTAACATGATTTTGACATATGCTTCGCTTGAGCCTTCCCGCTGTCCAAGACGGACCCAGAGGCCCCCAACATCGCCCCAAGAGCGCCCAAGAGCCCTCCAAGATGACCCCATGACAGCCCAAGAGGCCCCCAAGAGGGCCCCAAGACGGCCCCAAGACGGGCCAAGAGGCCTCCAACACGCCCAAGATGGCCTCCAAGACGGCCCCGAAACGCCCCAAGAGGGCCCCAAGACGGCTCCCGACGGCGTCAGACGGGCCAGGAGCCCACCAAGATGGCCGAAGTTGGCTCGAAGCTGGCCCAAGACGGCCCAAGAGGCCTCCAAGAGGGCATCCAGGAAGGCCAGAAAAGGCAAACAAAAAAAGTGTTCCTAAGGTTTTTGAAGGATTTTGGCATTTGCTTCTTTTCGGCCTTCCGACGGCCCGAGACGGCCCAAGAGCCCCCAAAAATCGCCCAAAGATCGCCCAAGAGGCCTCCAAGATGGCCCCAGAACAGGCCAAAAGGCCCCCAAGACGGCCCCAAGAGGCCCCCAAGACGGCCCAGGAGGCCTTTGAGACGCCCAAGATGGCCTCCAAGACGGCCCTGGAGCATTCCAAGAGGGCCCCAAGTCGGCCCAAAGAGGCCCCCCAAACGGCTTCCGACGGCGTCAGACGGGCCAGGAGCCCACCAAGACGGCCGAAGATGGCCCTAAGATGGCCCAAGAGGCCTCCAAGAGGGCCTCCAGGAAGGCCCGAAAACGCCAAAACCAGTTATTTCTCTTAAGTTTTTGAAGGATTGTGGCATTTGCTTTTTGTTCGGCCTTCCGACGGCCCGAGACGGCCCCCAAGTGCCCCCCAAAATCGCCCAAGAGGCCTAAGACGGCCCCAAGAGGCCCCCAAGACGGCCCAAGAAGCCTCCAAGACGCTCAAGATGGCCTCCAAGACGGCCCAGGAGCCCTCCAAGACGTCCTCCAAGAAGGCCCGAAAGGGTCAAAATGGCCTCCAGACGGCCAAGATGACCTTCAAGATGCCCACGTGTTCCCCGAAGGCTTTCCAAACCGATTCGGGGAACACATGGTCCGATAGCTTGGCAGGTCTGGCCTCAACGTTCGGCCACATAGGCGCTTCCAAAAAGGCAGTGGGCGGCGGTGATTCGCCGTAGGCGTCTTCGGTTCATCACAAGGGTGCCTGGCATGCTAGACCGTTTCGGTTTTGGTTTTGGTTCTTTTTCCAAAAGAACTCCCCCTGGGGCTTCGGCCCGTCCCGCCACCGTACCCAAGACGACCGGAAATCTGCACAACGCCGCCTCCAAGACGGCCAATATGACCCAAGATGGCATCCAAGTTCGCCCAAGACGGAGAAGATGGCCCCAAGAGAGCCCAAGATGGCCCCAAGAAGTTTCCAAGACGGCCCAAGATACCCCCAAGATGGCCAAAGATGGCCAAAATGGCCCCCAAGACGGCACAAGAGGCCCCCAAGACGGCCCAAGAGACCTCCAAGACGCCCTCCAGGAAGGCCCGAAAGTGCCGAAATCACTGATTATCCTTACGTGTTTGAAGGATTGTTGCATCTTCTTCTCTACAGCTGTCCGACGACCCAAGACGTACCCAGAGGCCCCCAACATCGCCCCAAGAGCGCCCAAGAGCCCTCCAAGATGGCCCCATGACAGCCCAAGAGGCCCCCAAGAGGGCGCCAAGAAGGCCCCAAGACGGCCCAAGAGGCCCCCAAGACACCCAAGATGGCCTCCAAGACGGCCCTGAGGCGCCCCAAGTCGGTTCAGAGAGGCCCCCAAGACGGCTTCCGACGGCGCCAGACGGGCCAGGAAAGCCCTAAGACGGCCAGAGAGGCCCCCAAGAAGCCCCCAAAGGCCCCCAGCACGCCCAAGAAGGTCCCCAAGAGGCCTCCTGGAAGCTCCCAGCAGACCCTAAGAGTGCCCCAAGAGGCTCCCAAGAAGTCTCCTCCTCCTCCTACTCTTACTCTTCCTCTTCCTCCTTGTGTTCATTCTCCCCCAAATGTTTCCCGAAGGCTTTCCAAACCGACTCGGGGAACTCATGGTCTAGCCCAACTCTCGGCCACATCGGCGCTTCCGAAATGGCAGGGGGCGGCGGTGACTCGCCGTAGGCGTCTTCGATCCGCCGCCCCCTGTTGATTCATCACAGGGGCGCCCAGCGTGCTAGACCCTTTCGGTTTTTGGTGTTGTTCTTTTCCAACAGAGCCTCCTCCTCTCCTCCTCCTCCTCCTCCTCCTCCTCCTCCTCCTCCTCCTCCTCCTCCTCCTCCTCCTCCTCCTCCTCCTCCTCCTCCTCCCCTGGGCCTCTGGCGCGTCCCGCCAACCACCCGGAAAGATCGCCAAGGACATCAATCCGGAAAGAAATCCTCCGAGATGGTCCAAGATGGCCTCCAAGATGGCCACGTTGGCCCAAGATGCCCTCCAAGATGGTCCAAGATGGCCTCCAAGTCCGCCCAAGATGCTCCTTGACGGCCTCCAAGACGGCCCAAGAGAGTCCAAGATACCTCCAAGGTCGCCCGAGAAGCCTCCAAGACAGCCCAACACGACCTAGGAGACCTCCAAAAGGCCCTCCAGAAGGGTCCGAAGAGGCCAAAATTATTGATTTGCCTAAAGGTTTTTGAAGGATTTGGGCATTTGCTTCTTCTCGGCACTCCGACGGCTCAAGACGGCCCAAGAGGCCCCCAAGACCGCCCCAAGATTGCCCACGAGGCCTCCAAGATGGCCCCATGACTGCCCAAGAGGTCCCCAAGACGGTCCCAAGAGGGCCCCAAGACGGGCCAAGAGGCCTCCAAGACGCCCAAGATGGCCTCCAAGACGGCCCCGAAACGCCCCAAGAGGGCCCCAAGCAGGTTCAGAGAGGCCCCCCAAACGGCTTCCGATGGCGTCAGACGGGCCAGGAGCCCACCAAGATGGCCGAAATTAACTCGAAGCTGGCCCAAGACGGCCCAAGAGGCCTCCAAGAGGGCCTCCAGGAGGGCCCGAAAAGGCAAACAACACTGATTTTCTTCAGGTTGTTACAGGATTTTGACATTTGCTTCTTTTCGGACTTCCGACAACCCGAGACGGCCCAAGAGCCCCCAAAGACCGCCCAAAGATCGCCCAAGAGGCCTCCAAGGCCCCAGAACGGCCCAAGAGGCCCCCAAGACGGCCCCAAGAGGCCCCCAAGACGGCCCAGGAGTTCTTTAAGACGCCCAAGATGGCCTCCAAGACGGCCCCGAAGCGCCCAAGAAGTCCCCAAGTCGGCCCCAAGAGGCCCCCAACACGGGCCAAGAGGCCCCCAAGAAGCCCAAGATGGCCTCCAAGACGGCCCTGGAGCATTCCAAGAGGGCCCCAAGTCGGCCCAGAGAGGCCTCCCAAACGGCTTCCGACGGCGTCAGACGGGCCAGGAGCCCACCAAGATGGCCGAAGATGGCCCTAAGATGGCCCAAGACGGCCCAAGAGGCCTCCAAGAGGGCCTCCAGGAAGGCCCGAAAAGGCCAAAAACATTGATTTCTCGCAAGTTTTTGAAGGATTGTGGCATTCGCCTTTTTTCAGCCTTCCGACGGCCCGAGACGGCCCAAGTGCCCCCAAAGATCGCCCAAGAGGCTAAAGATTGCTCCAAGAGGCCTCCAAGACAGCACAAGAGGCCTCCAAGACGCTCAAGATGGCCTCCAAGACGGCCCAGGAGCCCTCCAAAACGTCCTCCAAGAAGGCCCGAAAGGCTCAAA